CTCATGGGCTGTGGTGCCACTGAGTTTGAGTATACATCTTGAAAAGGGAGAACGCTTTTCTTTAAAATACATTTTCTATCCAGAGAGACCAACAGTGTGAGAGAATTTCAGTCACAGACGTGAATGCAGTTAAGTTTAGCACTGTGAAATCCACTGTGAGCTTGGAAACTTGAACAAAATCAGAAGTGAGTTGATTTATAAATTATTTTTAACGTCACTCGTTAGAGCTACACAGAATCTATTTGGTGACAGATGCAGTTTTGAGCCTCAATCAAATGGCATAAGTCGCCCATCTGGTATAGTTGTTAGTGACGCTGACTGTGGTGCCTTAGGGTCTGGTTTCGAATCCCAGGTAAGACATGGATGTTTGTGTTGGAAGCATTCTTTTCTTTGTGATGTGTGCTTCATGCTTATTTCTATATAAGCTGTTATACTTTGTGGTGCACCGGGTTTTAAATGTTCTCAATAAAAAAAAAATCAAATGACAAAGACGACACTCTGCTCTCCAAGCTTTCACTCTTCACCTGTGTGAGGACTTTAGGCCTCGATAGATTTGATGTACATCAAGGGTGTCAAACTCAAAGGCTAACTTAGGCCAAATAAACAAGGTTTAACTTTAGCTGGGCCGCAAAAAAATCACTATTTGGAGAAACGTAGATTTATTTCGAATAATACATTATAATAAACATACACTGGTGTGCAAAAATTAAGGACGAGACGGTTTTTTCAATATAACTTTGTACAAAAGCTTTCCAAATCAACACATTTAATACCGTAAGATCCCCAATACGTAAGGACATGTGTAATGTAAGCAACACTTACTAAAAGAGAAATCAGAGGGATAAAAAGTAGCTTTATTGAAAAAGTAGCATGGAGAGCAATGCGACTGCAGGCCGAAACATCCCTGTGATGGGTGTCCAGCAAGAAACATCCGGTCTTTAGTAGGGGATATGATCTCCCTGACTGCTAGGCAAGTTTCACAGCGTCTGCCCATACTGAGAATGAGGGTGTCAATGAGTTGTTGATGCAATGCTGCCCATTCGTCTTGCAGCGCCATCGAAGCTCCCGAATCGTTACTGGTGGTAAGGTACGAGCTTCCAAGCGTCTGCTTAGAAAATCCCATTCATGCTCGATGGGATTGAGATCCGAGATCATGCCGGCCAATTCATACGTTCAATATCCTCACTCTATAAGAGCTTTTCGGCAGCTACTGTGCGATGACAATGTGCATTGTCGTCCATGAAAAGGAACTGCAGACCCGTAGCGCCTCTAAAAAGACGCACATATGGAAAAAGAATCTCGTTACAATAACGGGTCCCGTTGACTGAACCTGCGTCGAAGATGTGAAGGTCTGTACGACTACCAAGCATGATGCCTCCCCAAACGAGAACACCGCGACCTCCATACCTGTCCCTTTCAATGATGTTCGAGGGATGATTGCGGCTTCCCCGCTCTCTCCAGGTGAGAATCGCTACTCAAACTGAATCTGCTCTCATCTGTAAAAAGTACTCGTCCCCATTCATTGTCTCTCCAATTCCGGTGTTCCCGGCACCACAGAGAACGCCGTCTCCGATGGGCAGGCGTTAAAGGTACACACCGTACAGGGCGTCGTGCAAACAGACCACCACCGTGCAGTCTTCTGGCCACGGTAAAAAGCGATATCGGTCGTCCACGATTTCTCCCGCTGTCTGCCGCCTGTTTCTTCTGGCCTGTAAGACAATGTACCGGTCATCTGCGGGTGTGGTTCCTCGTGGATGACCACTACTGAACCCCCGAATAGCTGTTCCTGTAGTTTGAAATTGTCTCCAAAGTCGTGAAACGATGCTGTGAGCAATTCCGAACTCTGCAGCCACTCTTTTCACACTGCGGCCTTTCTCCAACTTCCCAATGATTCGACCTCCGGTAAATGCATCCAGATGTCGTCTAACAGATTGATTATTCGCCATTTCTCGCTGAGGCAGCAACTCGGTGTGATTTTAACTGCTATACGGCGTGCAATCTTATTGCCAGAAATACTGATCTTACACCGACAACATTCTTTTTACTACTCAGACACTCCCCCATTACGTCTACCTGCATATCTGCGCATGTGCTACCGTACATCACCTTACTTAATCTCCTGATTGGTCTTTCTGTCCACTCTGCCTCTTCGTTCAGCTGATATGCTCATTTTTCGACTTCGTCCTTAATTTTTGCACACCAGTGTATATAAAAGAATAGCAACAAATTACTGTTTACATCCTGACACTTGACATTTCTTCTCTGCTACTCTCTTTCCTATTTCGGGAGAAATTTTGCGTACAGTGATTACGTTCAAAACTGATTCAAGGTGAGCGTCATGAATACTATTTCGAACAGGAGATTTATTTCCTTTCATAACTGAAAATAACTGCTCGCACCCACAAGTACTTGCAAGCATGGGAATCATTTCATATGGGAATTTTCGAGTATTTTTAAACGTGGCTGGTGTAAATATGTATATTTCATGAAACCACTTCAATGAACTTTGCCTTCAAATTTGAGTCGTACTGAATCTGGATCACCTACCTCCATTTGCCTTCTGAATCTGTATTTATTGAGAAAATAGAAGAAAATGAAGATGGCGTATATTCTAAAGAATTAAAATCTTTAAATCTTGCTTCTCTAATTCAGTTCTAAGATTTGAAATTTGTTCTGAGTCTTTGTGAAACGAAGCAGTATCATCTAGACTTGATTTAGGCATGCTGCATATAAGTTGCTTTTTCGAAATATTATATATTATTGTGTGCCAATAAAATGGCCGGGCTGACAAAAATGTTAGTTGTGGGCTACATTTGACTCGCGGGCTATGAGTATGATACCCCTGATGTACATGAACCGTTCTACATGGGGATTCCTAAAAAAACCTGGACTTGAACCCCCATTTTAAAAAAAACGCTGGCTGAAAACACTAACCTGTTGGGGGGGGGGCTCGTATCTAACTTAATTAAGTAACTACAGAATAAAAAGCGTAATTTCACATTTGGATTTATCAAGTAGAAAGTAGTCCGTCGAATAAGCTTAAACTTATAAATTTCATCATAATGTAATCACCATTTTCAAGAAATATAATTGTGTTATGAGCATTTCTTGGTGATAAGGTCTTACTTCACACTTATTTCTTCAGCTGTCATCCTCGTTACTTGACCAGGATTGAAAATTACGAGATCCATCGCCAAAAGCCCTCGAGTAGCTGAACAGTACTACGTTAATATTCACTCACTCACTCACACTTACTTCTTTACTTAAATTTATATGGCTTCATTTTTTATCAATAATGAATTAAAATTTGACCTTAAAATAAAACTATGACTACGCCGCTATACAACCGCAACAAGTCGACACTATACATCTATAATTAAAATTTTCAAGGATACTAACTAGCCGTTTGGACGTTGTAGTGTTTAGTGGAGGGTGACTGTTGTACCGTAGGGCCAGGGTTCGAATCCCGGAGAAGGCATGGATATTTGTAAATGTTTAATGCCTTTGCGGCATGGGGTTACTCTAATTAGCCATCGAGCCACAAGTCCTCTCGCGAGATTGGTGGAAGTGGAAGAGAGGTGGGAGAGAAAGGTTAGGGGATAGGTGACATATTTCGGGGGAAGTAGTTTCGAGAAGGAATGTATCCCATAGTGGACACCCCGTTGCTTATGTTCTAAAGCAAGTCAACCTTTCACCTCCCTTGACCCATTCGACAGTGAGGTGATCGACGCAGTTCCCACGCCAAACTTCTGCACCAAATTTCACCACGTGAGGGGCACTAGGACCAATAGTAGAATAGTAATCCTGGCTACATTCAAACAGAAGTGATTCTGGATCACGTGTCACGTGATGCAAAATCATGTCAAGTTGCATGCTTGACGTATTCCACCTTAAAAGAGTGCCAAAAAGGGGAAAACAGTAACTCTCAAGATACTAAGGTGCTTCACAGACGCTAGAGACATTTTTACAAGCTTCGATACTCTACAGCGCCCAAGCACACTCCAATTGATTCTTTCTGCGATTGACTCTCAAACTGACTGTGACCTATCAAGGCTCACATCTACGAGCATTTCAATGTCATCTTTACGCCACTTTCCTCAGGAGTAATCCAGCCTTAGTAGCGACCTCAACAGCGCTGCACCTTAGCAGCACCATAGCAATAGTAACTAGCGTCGCAGCACTGTCATCTGCATGGTGCTCAAAGCTACAGATAATGACAGGCGTACATCAAGTTCCTTGCCACAATGAATTTCGTGGACCTCGAGCTGACCCTGCCTTTTAGGGACATTAACAACAATAACAGAATGGTGACTATCCAATTAAGTCATAAACTTGAAAAATTCTCTGGTTTTATTAATGACTGCATGGTACGATGAAAATTACTATATTTAAAATACAAATTAGTTCCTAACTTGTCACATGTGAGGTGATGCAGAATTCAACAAAATAATTGTTATCGATAGAATTGTAGAGATAAGTGTTAAATCAAACCTGTCAATCAATTATGTTTCTAAAAAAACAAGAGATATTTAGCTGTCATGAGCATTGCTTGATTTCGTAACTGTGCCTAGTTTTATTTTGTAAATGATTTATAAAGTATGACTGAATTTGTGAATGTGAGTATGTATTATCATATCCTGCTTATTACCAAGGGCTACAGTCTGCACTGACGTAATAGTTTAAGAGACTGACATATGTTTCCCAGCAGACAATCGTATAGCAGCGCGAGAAAAAAACATATCCAGATGAAAGTTTCCTTTTGTTTGGCGGCCAAGACTAAACGAACAGGGCAAGTCCCAAAAAGTGAGAGCCATTTCATAGGTGGTGCCATCTAGTTGTGGCTCCCACTACCCAATTTTTGACGCTTAAAATTATTTAATTCAAGCTCTTATCAGATTGCCGTAAGTATCAGAACCAAAACTATATGCCATACAGAGCCAGGACCTTTTACATGTCTTATAATTAGATGGCATTCGACATTTTGCATCCAAAAAATCTATCGACTCCAGCCGGAATTGAACCGGCAACCTTACGTTGCAGGCACGCTATCTCTACGTCACCGAGTCGACAAATGAAAGATATAAGAGGAAGATGTCGAGATGAGCACAATGTAATTCAAAGTATTAGTTTTGTAGATTTTTAAGTCTGATTCTTCTTTCGGAGTTACCCTTGTAAGTATTTGTCCCTAATAAATGCATATTTACTGACATTTGTCACTGTATATAATATAGTTGTGAATTGCAACCAATGAATGCAATGGTAAGCATTTGAAAATTAATTATATGTATAAATTATGTTCACACAATAAAATACCGTATAAACGGAGGTTGGTTATGTTGAAATAAAACGTTTATTTCATTTGTTTTGATTTTGTGATATAAAAATGTTTTAAAATAGCGATTGATTTTTATACAAGAACGAATCCTTATTGTAAACTTTCAGTATTTGTGACTAAATATTCAACCATAATTTTCATCGCGCCCCGCTTCCATACAATTACAAGGCATTGAATTAAAGAATACTGAACTTTGACGCTAAGGCAAAAATACGACTTTAACTTACTAAGCACCTCCGGTGTATATAAACATCTCACTCAGTCAAAGCGTTAATTTTCCCGGACGTGTACATACATGGGGCATGCAGCCGAAAGCAAAGCACAGTCTTCGCGCGCAGGCGCAGCTAATGAGAACTGAAACCTGTGGACTTTTAAGAATTAGAGAAAGAGAGAAAGCGGAAAGGAGGAAAGAGAGAGGTGCGGGAGCAGGCGTTACCATGAACACATCATCGAAACTTATCTGTTAGAATAGCTACCTTTTTAATTAATTTTTGTTAATTTTAAAATAAATGTAAAAAAAGACAAAAGTCTTGGACCTCTTGTTGTCTCCCACATACATCTTTCCGAAGTACGATCTTTTCTGTGCACTGCCATTAATAAAATTATTCCGAAGTCTTTGGAATGCAATAAAAATGCTTTGAGAGTGTTTGCAAAGGACTTTCTTATTTCAGAGGATTTGCTTATTTATTCCTTTTCTCCTCTCCCCTTCAATGCATCACATACACACAACTGTGGGGAAAACGGTAGCGTTGGGGAGTCAATCACGTATCTTTTATAAACAGTAATGGGATTAATTACAAACCGTTCAAATTATCAAGAGAAGTGTTAATTTTTGTATATATTTTTACTTATGACAAGCCCATGGGGTCAATGGTAACTATTAAACTCATTCTTTACTTAATATTCCTAAATTAATTGTAAAATTACGATTTGTTGCAAAAACGTCATTAATATACAGCAAACTCTATTTTTTACTTTAGACAATAAATTAATACATTATTCTTATTTTCTTTGCTTCTGATTTTGAATTTTAAACAAAAATAGAATGATATTGAAGAATAAAATCAATGATTGTGTACAGTGGCGCGCAGAGGAATTTTTCAACAGGGAGTTCAGGGTCGAAAATACACCATTCTGCCGCTCAGTGGCGCCCACAAAGGGGGATTCTTAGGGGTCCGGACGCTCCCCATCGCCCGAGATTTTTGCTTCGATTGGTTATAATCCTAAGAATATATTACGTAAAATTTAATTATGTATCTGTTATTAATAATTAATTTTATTGATTCATACTAATTATTTATTCCATAATTAATTTTGTGTTGTTTTTGTTCAGGAAAATCGACAAAATCAAAAGAATATTTCGGGCGGGGTATTGGAGCATGATACCAAAATGGTGGACTTTCGCGCGTGGCCCTGGAACCCACCCCCTCCCCTTGAAAAAATTTTTTTGTGCGCTACTGATGCCGCCCAAGAAATTCTTTTGATTTTGTAGATTTTCGGGAACAAAAAACAGTAAAAAATTAATTATTGAATAAATGATTAGCATTAATTCATAAAATTAATTATTAATAACAAGTACCTAATTAAATTGTACGTAATATATTCTTAGGATTATAATCAATTGGAAACAAAATCAAGGGCTATGGGGGAGGGCCCAGCCTTCCTTGTGTGCGTCACTGGTTTTGTATGCTCTTTTTGGGAGAAAATGAATGTAAAAATACTGCTTGTAGTTAAAATTTTAAGACTAATAATTATTCTTAATAACTATTAATATATTTTCCAGTGTTTTTCTTGAGTTATAAATTTACTGATTTTATTAAGACAATTGTCACAAATGAAGAAAACCAAAGTAATATACTATATATATATGTGGCATGCAGCCAAAAGCAAAGCACGGTCTTCGCGCGCAGGCACAGCTAATGAGAACCGAAACTGTGAAAACTTTAAGACTTAAGAGAGAGAAAAGCGAGCAGAGAAAAGACGGAGGTTCGCGAGCAGGCGTACCCGTCGAGAATTCATGAAAACCCATCTGTTAGAATAGCTACCTTTTTAATTAATTTTTGTTAGTTTTAAAATAAAGTTAAAGAAAAGATAAATGTCTTGGACCCCTTGTTGTCTCCCACAAATTATGGGGGCTCGGCCGGGATCGAAAAAATTTCGATTTTGAACCAAAATCTGGACAATGAACAAAAGCGTCCGTGAAGGAGACGCTCCGCCATTTTTTGGAAACTTCGTTCAACCTGTGTAGAGGTTATATTTTTCATCGAACCCTCTAAATATTCCGCCTGTGTAGAGGTTGGAACTATCGTCGAAAATTCCGCCTGTGTAGAGGTTGGAAATATCACAAACACCTGCGAAGAGGTGTCAATTCGAACAATTTATCTGTTCAAGAACTATAGTTCATCTATATTACCTGCGAAGAGGTGAAATCACACACACACACAGTGAAATCAACGTTTTTCTTCAATTATTGGATACATCGTACGTGCGAGCAACAAGGGAGCTAGAAAAAAAAGGTAGGATCTTTCCATATTTTTTCTAAAATGTATAAAAACGCTCTTAAAGAGGATTTCATAAGAGTTGTTGAGGATCTAGACGGTACTGTGGAGAGTACGGACACCATAGCTAAACTAAAGACTAAAATTGAGAACAGTAGTACATTTGAAAGTGATCCAGATTTCGTTAAAACTTTAACTAAAAACTGTATAGATGAGAGGGTATCGCGAAACGAAAGGGATTTAGAAAAACAGAAAATTGAACTTGCTAAACTACAGTTAGCAAAATTAGAAAAAGAAGTCGAACTTCAAACGGCTAAAAATAAAGCATTAAGTTTAAATCCTGCAGCTAAAGTCGAAGAGAAACAGTTTGAAACTTTAAATAAGGAAACTGCAACTCATATTGGCATTCAAAAAACAGAAGATTGGTTTAGGCCTATTGATTTAGCTGAAGAGTGTGATATTTATATTTCATCTAAAAACGGATCACAATTAATTAATTTATTAAATTAATTACCACGTAAGGAAACTCCTATTACTTATGGATATACCCAAGACCCCTTTAAAAATAGATCACAAAACTTTAAACCAAAGATTAAAGAGAACTATCCCCAATATCTTGAAAGAGAAAATAAAAATTGCTATATATGCGGTGATTCATCTCATTACGCAAGAGATTGTGAGAAGCGTTTTAAGCCTAAAGAATCTAACAGCCACATCCATAATAGAATAAACGTGAATACTTTGAAAGTCGAGAGCGAAAAACAAAATAGCGATGAGTTTGCAAATCTTCAATATGTAAACATTTTTGTGGAAAATCAGCCCGTAACAGCCTTGATCGATTCAGGTTGCCAGATCCCAGTTTTAAATTCCTCACTAATTAGAGTGCACAAAACTTCCGAAGAAATCATAACATTAAGTTCATGTTTTGGCGAACAGCGAATGGTAGAAGTTAAACCCATAAATATTTCTCTTAATCAACTCTCTCCCGGTCTAAGTGTTCGAACGGCAATATCACCGACCTTGACCGAAGAATTTATTATGCATCCCAGTGTATATGCTGAAATAAAGAAACTAGGCCACGCAAAGAGCGATGTTTTATTGAGTGAAAGTGGATCCTCTTTGGGTGTTCATTTTAATTCAAATGTTTCTGTTTCAAATGTTTCTGTTTCAAATGTGATAAAAACTCTAGTTATGATTTGCCATATGTTAAAAACTTTAATACTAGAAATGATTTGAGTTCTCTAATTAAGAATTATAAATGTAATAAAATTAAGAGTACTAAGTTAAAAATGAATATTAAATTGGAAAATGATATTCCTGTGTGTCAGAGAGCCAGATGTTTATCTCGTTCTGAGAAATTACAGGTAAACGATCAAATTGATGATTGGTTACGACAAGGTATTATAAAAGAGAGTGTTTTTGATTATTGTTCATCTATAGTATTGTGTAAGAAAGTCAATGGTGCCATGAAAACGAGTTTCGTGAACTTCAACACCCCTTCACCTATGAAGACTAAACATAGACGGTTTGCAATGCTCCGACGAATCTTTGAGCCCTGGCAGTGGAAACGGAGGAAAAAGAGAGATCGTTTTAAGCAGACGTCCAGAACTCTAGAGAGGAAAATATCGATGCGTTCAACCAAAGATCAACTTATTAAAAAAGACGTTCTTATGCCTGATGGATCTGATAAAGACCAAGATAGCGGAATAAATGATTCCGTTCATCCTAGCGTACTATCGTCATCTCAGAATCATGCCATGCCTGCGAAACACAATGTTTTCCTGTGGAACCTTCCGGATGTCGAAGAGGTGCCTTCACATGATGGAGAAACTGTCTAGTTCAGAAAAATTATGATATGTTAAATCTCTATGTATTTGTTGTATAGTCCTTGTCTGTTCCGTTTTTTTTGTATGTTTCAGATTCTCCTCTGGTCTCGATGAAAAAGGAAAAAAGGGAAGTACCGCTGCGGTCAGCGTACAGTCAGGCTGGCCGATTGTGGCATGCAGCCAAAAGCAAAGCACGGTCTTCGCGCGCAGGCGCAGCTAATGAGCACCGAAACTGTGAAAACTTTAAGACTTAAGAGAGAGAAAAGTGAGCAGAGAAAAGACGGAGGTTCGCGAGCAGGCGTCCCCGTCGAGAATTCATGAAAACCCATCTGTTAGAATAGCTACCTTTTTAATTAATTTTTGTTAGTTTTAAAATAAAGTTAAAGAAAAGATAAATGTCTTGGACC